CCCTAAAAAAACGTGTTGGCTACAATTGTCTGCATCAAAGTGCCTTCTCTAGCTTTCGTAATTTTGTCTAACAGCATGTCTGACGCATTCTGTGTGCAGCTAGTCGCTAAAGCATGTCTCTAGATATACCGGGTGCCTGCGGGGCGCATGCGCTTCCATGCATTGGCAGGCGTCTAAGGGGCCTTGCTAAACGCGTACATCCCTCCACTTTAATTCCATCCGACGCCCAATTGTCATCTGTGGATCAGTGGAGCTGTGCAAAGCGGCGCGGCCAGTAACAAATGTGGAGCTCCGGCCTGGCCGCCACACTCCATGCACCAGCGCGTTGACATGAACCAGTCATCATGAAGTTTTTATGCCAAGATAGCCATTGCACACAAACATTTCAAAACTAATCGCCTCGACCCAGTCTAATGACCCCTTCCCAGTGGACATAAGAAGAGAGACGAAGGCAATACCAGCTCACGAATAAGTCGCTAGAGGTTCTCCAGGTACTTTCCGTTTTCGTCCAGTTCGACAGGCAAGGTAGTAACGTCCGCAGTTTAGAATTTTGTGCCCACCCACCGTCACCACCATCGCCACAAAACAGCAGCTGCGATGAATTCTCAGTAACTGTAATAACTACTGCGGCCAAAGATGCACATCTTAGGCGAGAGCGGCACGGTTGTCTAAAAACTAGCACCCTCATCGTAGACGATGCCTTTTCCACATAATCATCCAGCACAGGAGCCTTCCATACGCCTCTCCGAACGCTTAATTGCATCCTTCCCTTTTCTAGTTGTGCTTTTTTCTGCGTATAAGCTCGCATGCGCACCTATATTTTGGACAGGACTGCCGTCGCAAGCGGGTGTGTGCGACTACCACAAGCCCCTACCAGTCAATTAGTGTGGGTCGTGGTTATGGCTCCCTGGAAGATGTAGGGGAGGGGTCAGGGTTGCGGGGTCGGTCTGTGCAGAAGAAACCGCAATGAGGACGCGTGAAGGGTAGGAAAGCGGCGCACCCGCATAAGGTTCGTATGCGTGCACGTACCATTTTTTATGGCCTGCGCCAGGCTGGGTTGGATGTTGGGCTAGACAGGCAGGTCGGTTGGCGAAGTGTGTAATTCTTAAAGTGAGTGCGTGGACGTGGTGTGCGCCTGGACATCTGCCGGCTTTTTCAACGGTGCCCTTTCTGGGGCCATGGTGGGCGCACGCCAGCGCGCGTGAGTAGCGAGGACGAGGCCGGCTAAGTGCTATTCCCTCAAATGGTGTTTACTATGGACAGAAACTGGGGAATCTCCTGTCCACTCTGTTCGCCCCCACGCGTGGCATTTTGTCAGTGGCCGAGACGGCGGCTGGGACGTCAGTATGCGGTCAGCCTCTGGGGTGATGATGCGCGATGCAGGTGTTTGATTTCGCATCGATGTTTGACGCATCAGACCTAATTGATGACTACTCCCTCCTCTAGCTGTGATTTTACAAAAGGGCACAGAGTCTATTTACGTGATCTGTATACGCATATTAACGAACCCAAGCCTGTGCTAATACTGTTGACAAAACTGCTTTGTTAATTTCCCTGCGTAAACTCCTCCTGGCGCTCTCCACTTTCACGTTTTGCGTTACATATATTCTCACCAAGTCTCCCTGTTTTACGTAAATGGGTGTAGTTTTGCTGTTTCTAATGGGTGTCAATACATAACTCACCCTTACACCTCAGGTGATAACCCTAAAAGAATGATCCTTATGGCCGAGATCACTTTTATAAATTTTAGCTTTATTATGTGTACCTCTTAAGTAGCCCTGAGTACGCCGAATTCGAACGGCGATAGGAAGCGTATGCACATTTGGTATATTTCTAACTGCTTGTTCTGGAAATATGACGGCATAAGGAGGTACCGTTTATTTAGTGATACGTACTAAGACAGAAATGACAGTGGCGTCTACGGGAGGTGTTAAAGTCAAAACATGCATGACTTAAAGGCACAAGCGACAAAGAAGTAGATACGGTCGCTGGGGCGAGAACTTTATTCGCTTGATGTTGCAGATTCCAGCTCAAACCCTTCTTCACAGACAGTATCAACTCGGTTCAGGCTGGAATTCGAAACGTCAAGCGAAAAGAATTCTCATCCTACCGATCCGACTGATTCGTCCCAATAACTTCCTGCGAGTCGCACGTTGCCGGTATCGACACAAATAACAGTAGATAAGATTCCTCTATAACCACGAGAGCAGGAAAATCTACATTCTATTCCGATGCAGTGACAGGTCACGATTAATACGCAGGATGGGAAATATTAGGAGAATTAACGAAAAACTAGCAGGCAAATAACAAAAATGGTGATTAATACCGAGCCAACTTGGGTTTCCAGAAGACAAGCTACTTATCACCGTTCCGTTTAATAAGGTATCGCGCTTTAAATATGCACCGTTAAGCAAATGTGATCATCCGGCTACTAAGTGAATGGCCTCCTTTCCAGTTGCAAATAAATAACTTACTCGAAGGGCTATGTATCCCGCAAAAAGCGGTATAACAGGGTTCGTGGTAGTCTGTCAGATGTTGGCTGTTTAGCGAAGGTTTTCAGAGTGCTGGGTAGGATTGCGAGTCCGGAAACCCATTTAATTTAGGAAGTTCCTGGAGCTTGTAACTAAGGTACTGCGTACTCCGTAGTTTTCTTTTTTGTAGATGACGGTCTGTGTGCGATTGTCATCCTGGCTCCATCTATTTCACAGCAGCTTCCTATACCGATACTGAAACCTGTTTAATGCTACAATTTCAAGTACCTCAGATCAATGAAAATAATAACTCTGTGCACTATGTTTGCCAGTAGCCTGCGTCAATCGCAGGGTTGAACAACAGAAGTACTTTCTTTTTTAATTCTGTCTCTTCCTAAATTTAGAATAGCTTTCGCAGGCGATAATTAAAGGCTGCTCAAGCCATGCCAAAGGGGGGACAGGAATATACAGATCCAGACTGAAATTTATTCCAGTGTTTATTTTACTGTTAGCAGTTTTAACGGGCTGGCCGTATAATGCTCACGCTTGCTGCCCTCGCTAATTTTCAGTTCATTATTTGAGGACCTAGAAAGAATAGTTCTAATTATTGTGAGCGGGTTATATAACATGATGCTTATTCTATTCGCATAGAACTGCTCTTGGTTAGGCTACCACAGATTCTGCTTCCCGAGTGCGCTTGAGTGAATGAATTGGCTTTTGACTTACTTAATTTCGCCATTATGTTATGAAATGCACTGCTCTTCCCATCACCAAAGTTCACCTTGTTTATTTTCACTTAGATCGACCTCATTCGTGATCAGTGGGGACACGTTGGCAGCTTCTTCGGTTACAGGTAACTTGTTGTAAAGGTCTGGATATATAAGTATTCCTTCTATTTTGGATAAGACGCTGTTTTCCACGCGGTACAGCAAGCATAAGAGTTTTTTGGTCTGCTTGCCAAAGCAACATACTGAAATCGGTATAATAAATTCAACTACAGTGCGGTTTTGCAATGGGTGCAAATAAACCTCATCCCCCTTTCTGTCAGATGACCTGTTCCCATATTTGCATTTCCAGTAAGAAAACGTCGTCCTAACACTGGTAGCTTTTTCCGGCTAATGTATGTTTCAGGGCTTATTAACATAAATAGCACTTCATCCTCGAACAGGTCTAGAAAAAATTAATTGTTTAAATAAATTCATGTCTGGCGTAACTACGAAACCTCTACAAGAGGTTGGGTACGCCGACTTCCAGGTCACCTAATTAACCACCCCAAATCAACTTCAGTACAACCTGAAAGGGGTTCTTCCTATTGCGTTCGTACAGTAGGTAGGTAGGCAACTGCCCGCATACGAAGGCAAATAAACGGGAAATGTCTACTTCATTCAGCCTGTGTCAGTGGACCTCAGAAAATTATTGACTGAACATGTTTGTAGGACAGCCCCTGAGTGCTCTAAAAGGTGCCTTGAAACAAAACTAAACCGGCTTACTTTGACCTGTTCATTTGCTGCGCGCAATCCCCGCGCACTCTTACACAGATGCACAACTACATGCATCTTTCTCTTCAGCTGGTCAAATGAATCTTCTTTCAATCTTCACACACGGCCAGCGCCAGTCTGACTATAGCAACCGCTTTATTCTACGGTTTGTTGAAACCTGATCTAGCATTAGGTCGGCTACGGAGATACTATCCTCGCGAGTGTCTCCAACGTTGCGTTCTTCTCATTCGAAGTGGATTCTGTGCTGTGAAGGCCTACGAGAGTCCGACTATGACGCGGTTTGCGGTCGAAAGGGTTCTGGCCTGAGGGCTGGGTTGTTGTTTAATGTGTACTTGGAGTCATGGCCACTCAGTTGAATATGGTAGAGGGATACTGACCAATACCGTTACGGAACGTATTTACTCCACTGTGCCTTAGAACTCAATCTTGGACTCCACTAGCAGCCACACAGGGTCTACTATAATAGGCAACAGAACATTACCGACAACGACAGGGGACTGTAGAATGAGCATTTCCAGCTTAGTAGACCTCATCAGCCAGCTATAGTCAACCCCAGACTTTGCAGGTTCTGCGGTTCAAACCCGCAACCTGTTGGTAAGAAGTCTAACGCCCTAATCAGTAAGCTCCAGGCTCGTTGTCCTGTCCTTTGTAATTGGATTTCAGGACGGTGTCACTAATATTATTGTAACTAATGAACTCGTTACTAATTAGATGATTTTGAGATAAACGCACAAGTGAATAGCACTTCGAACTAATATCATCAAGAAAAATGCAGTGTGTTTTCTTCATCTGAGATACATATCAGGCCAATTTCCTCATTAAACGTGTCTGAACTGAGTTAACTGGAAGCAGTAAAACAACACGATTTTAAAACCTCGACAACCGTTGTCATAACGAGCTAATGTAGCCTTGCTTAATTTCTGTGCACATTTAGGTGAAAAGAAAAAAACCTGAAAAGGCTCTACTGCCTTGTTAATAATTTTCGTAGGAATAGAGCAGCGTATTATGTTCCATGCATTGCATTTTGCTTCCTTCCTTCATGAAAGAAAAATACTTGAATCAAGTTCCTTAAGAATTAATCTTTGGCGTTTAATTAAATAAAATTATAATGTGCTAAAAGCAATTTATTTAGTAAGCGTCACTCTGCTACTCCTTTACTTATACAGTCCAATCTCTTTATTTAAATCAAAAGTAGTAATTATGAATTTGTCAATCGCAGACCGCAGGAGTGGGTAGATGAGGAAAATCAGAAAGCCAGTGTCACTGGACACGCCAATTGCCAACCCCCTGATTCGCGGCCATGCGCTCTGTTGTTAACCGATGAATTGGGCATATTTGGGGATCCGGTGGCGCGGCTCTGCTCGGTAATACGTGTTCGCTGGTTTTACGGGCTAGCTAGGAGAAATATCTTTACTGTTAAAATTACGTCTACTGTCAAATTTATTGTTGCATAATGCAATAATCGGCATTGTCTCGCCGTGGAAGTTACCAGTCGTATCTTGGCCTAGGTAGGAGAGAGCCGCGCAGGTTGCTAACTATCTGAAATGCTGTTCCGACTTGGGCAATTGTTCACTGCTGAAAATATATAATTTTTATGTGCTTCTTAGGTTGGTAAGTATAACTTGTATGGCTACCTAAATGGACAAAGAAATAGGAAATCCCCGTCCAGTTAAAATACGTAACCTTGAAATACATTTTAGGAAGGAAACATTTCCCCGTGTCGTAACGCTAACACCAATCCTAACATAAAACTCAATTCTAAGTGTAATCTTACCACTAGCCCTACCCTAAACCTGAACCCTACAGTTAATACGAACCCAAAACTCAACCCTTAACATAATTCTGAATCTAACCCTAACTTGGACATTGATCCCAACGTTAAACCGAGTCCTTAACCTAAGCTTCCCTTGATTTGGCGCAAAGCCACATATATCTTAAGCGGCTTCTCCCCCGATGTCCTATTTACGCGGCCATACAAGTTACCCTATATCCCAGCATTTGCCATCGTGCATACTATTAACAGACAGTTGCAGAACTCGTATTAGTTAGTGGTCAGCAGGCGTACTGTTCAAAAGAACCAGCTACCTTGTATCGCTATAGAATTTCCTGTTTGCCAAATGCACATTTATAGGCTATTACAACCCCTGAGTCAGCGAAGCCGAGTGAACAGTTGTCGCCTATGAACGTTGCTTTAATTACATACGTGGATTCGATATGTTATGGTTATACCTCGCATATGCATGGGCATGCTTTTAATCATCCCGTGCACTAAAACTGAGTCCACCATTTATGCATCAGATCTAATTTATAACAACGACGATGACCGTTCAAGTCTGCTTGTTTTGGGAAAAGACAGGCTGGTGTTAATGCAGTGATCAAGGCAGGCATGAGCTTTACTGAATGCTACTATTCTCGATACAGCTGTAGGCATATTTTTAGCCGGATACTCTTGTTTGAATTAAAACGCTTGAAAAATAAGCTTCGTTGTCCCATCTTCTTGCCTCTAAATTAACGACAGAGGGCTGGTGAAAGAGAATTTTGTTTAACCAGAAAAATTAAAGCTTCTTGGCTTACCCCGTTAGTTATTCAGCAGAAGTTGGTGGATACTGCAGGTTTATGTTTAATGAATAAACGCACCAAAATACATCTACGTACATCAGAGAATTGCAGATGACTGCTGACTTTTTCTACGATAAGCGGAATATAGTTAAAGTGTCATCTCAACGTGCATTGAGGGATTATACGTCGATTCTTTCGACTGCAACGGAAATGTCTTAGACATAGTGGTCTTAGAATTTCGGGATGCGGGTCAAAGAACAAGCCTTCGTACTTATACGGCCGACTGCTGAAAAGAAGCAAATTCAAAGGCGGCCAACAACTCATTACCACAGAGCAAAGAGTATCTGTTAGTCAACAGCTAGTCAAACAACGTGGAACACCAACTCACGGACTTCGAGGGCTAGGGGCGACAGAGAAGGCGGCAGATTGATGTAGTCCTTTTGGGGAATATGCTGCCCCAAGTGGACCAATCATAAACCTAAATCATGAGCTCACCCAAAGCGAGGATGTTCCACAAAGGAACATTGTCAGTTGGCATTCTCAGTCATTGGAGATCGGGTATTTATAAAATATATTGGCTCGCCGGATAAAACTGTCTCCGTGTCGGTGGAAAGCTCCATGAGCAGGCAGTCTACCGGTAGTTAGCACTGAATAAAGACAGACTGCGCTCGTAACAATAGTGCCAGCATTCCTTGTCACCCTTCCCCCCCCCTCTGCACTTATAACTTGGTCGACTTCAGTCTGACGGTTAATTTCCTCTGTGTGACCTTTACCCCCTATACGGAAATTGTTTGCTTTTGGATCGGTATGCGTCCCTTCCTGACTTGTTGCGCTTCTTATCCTTTAGCCTTGCTATTGCTGATCTTGATGGTAACGGAGTACCAGACATTGTGGTGAGTGCTCCCTACTA